TGTGTTCTATGTGTATTTTATAGGTGAGGATCATCTTGATGATGATGTCAGTGATAAATTACAAAAATGCCATTACTAATAAAAATATCCTTTTAAGAAAATTGGGGTGTTACACAAATCACACATTTTTTTTGTAGTGATTGTCACATTCTTCTATCCTAAAAGATTTAATAAATAAATATAATAAAAAATTTGAAAAGTAAAAAATAAAATAATTATAATAATTTATTTCATAAAATTTATTAAAAAAAAAACATATAAAGCATTGTTTCAAAAGAAATAAGAACAACCTCTTAAATAATAAAGTTCTAGTAATAAAACACACTAAAATAGAAGTTCAACTACTAAACTACTCTTAATCCTAAAACTTAGCCCCAATATCACTATTAGGGCAAGCACCCTCTTTATAATTATCTTTCCTTAAAATCTTATATATGCTCTATCACTACTAGAATTTCTCGTATTACATGCGATTTTTCATGCGAATTTTGTGTTAAAATTCGCAGCAAATATTATTCCTACGAATTTTTCTACGAAATTTTATCTGCAGGTAATATCTTTGTGGATAATATATTTTTGCAAATTTTAAAATTCGCAAGAATTTTTCTAGGCGAAATTTTTTGCAAAAAAAAATTGTAAGAAAGTTTCCTACAAAATAATCAAAGAAATTACTATAAATTCTGCAGGAATATTTATTACGAAATAATCAAAGAAATTACTACAAATTCTATTTCCACGCCTCCATCATGTGATACATAATCTTTTAAACTGTAAGATTGTAGATTATAAGGCTAATACTCAACCATACAAATCAACTTGTAAGGTAAGTGTTGCCCCAACTTATATACTCTTTAATTATTTTGTTTTCAATCGATGTCGGACTTAAAGTTTTTTTAAAATATTAATCTTATAAATTTAAATATTTATTGATTTTTCCTGTGTATTAAAATTAACAGAAAAATCTACAGAAAAAGTTACTTGCGAAATTTTTCTACCACTTAGTAAATATTACTTGCAAATTTATTTTTTCAAGAAAATTTGCAAGAAACAAAATAAAATTCTTGCAATATTTTTTGCAAATTTTTGCCATGGAAAAGAGTTTCTATGATCATTAAAGTTGTAGCAAAATTTGCAAAATTTGCAAAAATTTCTTGTAGATTATTTTTCATAACAAAATTTGTAAGAAATATCTGTAAATTATTTTTTTTGCAAATAAATTCGTAAAACAAATTTTGTGAAATTATTATTGCAAGAAAATTTGCAAAAAATTTCTGCGAATATGTTTTGTAGGAAAATTGGCAAGAAAATGACACTTTTCTAGTAGTGTATATATACAAATGATGTTTAGCCCAAACACAAATAATAGAAATATAGGAAGTGAAAATACATCTCATCCATAACAACATATACGAAGTATAAGGATAGCTACTCACACGATTCATACATCAATTACATCATATACCTATATTGAGGAGAAATTATTCATTGTCTTTATTATTTTTTTTCTGCATGGAGACATAAATATAATGAGGTAAAAAAAAATCTAAGTTATATAATTTAAATAATAGATTACTAAATAATTGGTAAAATATTTTTTTAGTAACTAAAAAATTGAATTTCATAATTTTAATGTAAAGAAAATTACCTTTTGTATTCAATGATAAAATAATTGTTGATATAACTTTATGTTCAATACATTTTTTTCCAAATTTATTCTTAAGTAAAATTACTTTTATAGTGTAAACTAATAGATATTTATATTTATTATTTTATTTCATAATTTAAGGTATATAATAATATGGTTAATTTTTTTTTAAATATTACAATCAAATTATTCATTATACTAGAAGAAAAAACGTAATATATAATCCACGTGACTATATGTATAAAAATGTTTAATAAAGGTTAGAAAAGCTCTGATAATATGCTATCACTATCATGGATCCTGGTGAAGCAGATACAGGGTACAAAATATACTCAAATCAGAAACTCTGAACAAGAAAGATTATAAGCACAACAAATTAAAAATCATATCCAACAAATTAAAATAAAATATCTATTTTTATAAGCACTAATTTGATTTCAAAAGATTTTATAATTTAATTAATTAGAATTATCGAAGTGCGGTAATGTGTATTGTTGTGTCTTTTCCAACTTCTACTTGTACGGGAATCTACCACCTATTTTCTAAAACATGCTATCAATATGTTTGATATCAAAGAAATGAAAAATAAAAAAAGAAATTCGGTGGAGAGAAGAAATAGGTGAAAAGTAAAAAAAATGGAGGGTTATATTTTTTTTTAATAATTAAATAGTAGATAAGAGATAATATCACATATTTTGTTGATAGTTGTTTATCTATTTCATCTCTGATACTTCCGAACTTGGACAAATTATTTGTAAACAAAAACTTCACTATGTTCTGAACGTAGAGGTGCTTTTTGTTTGGAGGCAAATGAATCAAGTTACTCATGTATTTGTCAATTTTTGATACGGAGCACACACACACAAGTAGTATACAAAGCTAGTGGGTTGATTACTGATTGATTTTATACCCAGGCTGCTTGTTCATGGGTTCTTTTCGTTTCCATCGCCAACTTCCAACTCGCGTCAGTATTTGTAGTTTTACTTTTTATTTTCAACTCCATCTTTGCTTGGCGTCTTGTAATATTATGGTTTTCTATTTGAGTTAATTATTTATACACCATTAGTATAAATTTTTTTTATACTAACAACTAATTATATTTTTTAATAATGTTATGTCAGTTACTTATGTAATTAAATAATAATAAGATAAACAACTTTAAAAGATATGATTGGTTATTAATGTAAAAAATTTTACATTTACAATATATAAATGATTAACTCTTTCTATTTTATCATTTAGAATACATATAGATAAATTTTTCTATAAATACTTAATAATAAAATTAATGTTTGTAAAAGTAAGTTTATGGAAAACTTATATGAAAAATTTGTATAAATTAATTTATTCAAAAGTAAATTTTAACTTATAAAAAAATATTTACTTTTATTTTTTTATTTTTTTATTTTAATAAAACTACGTATAAAAAAAACTGTGCAAACATATCATATTCGTTTTGGTGGTATCTATTGTGAGAGGGTTTTGAAGGTTTTTTTTTTTTTTTTTTTTTTTTTTTTTTTTTTTTTTGTAAGTTCAGGGGTGGTATCTTGTAATCTGTTATCTTTGCTGGGCAAGCCTTAATTATTTTTAATAAAAAAAAAAGACTTTCATTATCTTAAAAGAATTATATAAAAATATAGCTTAAATATATTTTTAGTCCTTTAAATTTAAGATAAATTTATTTTTGGTCTCTCAAATTTAAAATTTATTGTTTTTAGTCCTTGTAATTTAAAAAAAAATTATTTTAGTCTTTATATTCAAATTTTTTAAAAAATTTATCAAACATTATTGTATAAAATCTACCTATTGGTATCCTTGTTATTGAAAATATCACATTAAATTTAATTGATATTGGATAACCATTTTAATTTGTCACTTTTAAATATGTTATTAGTGATCTGAAGGACTAAAATAAAAATTTTAAGAATTACAGGGACTAAAAACAACAGTTTTAAAGTTGAGAGACCAAAAACAAATTTGTCATAAATTTATGAGACTAAAAATATATTTAAACCTAAAAATATTAACCTTTTTTAAATATTCAGTCATAATATATGATATATGTGTTTAGTTATCTATAAAATATTACCTACGGAATTAGTTATTTACGAAATATTACCTACGAAATTTTTTGCGTAGGTAATTTTTAGTTATCTATGGAATATTTACCTACAAAATTTTTTTTGTAGATAATGTTTAGTTATCTATGGAATATTACCTACGAAATTTTTTCCGTAGATAATATTTAAGATTTTTTTCTCATTTTTTATTATATTTTTTTTTCTTTTAATACAATATAGAGGCGAGATGTGTACACTCTTTTAACAAACTTATAAATTTCACTTTATTATATAAATCAACAAGTTTAATATTTAAAAAGATAAATAAAAGTATATATAATTTCAATATATTATAGTAAATTTAATATAATAATAATAATAATTATTATTATTATTATTATTATTTTTATTTTTATTCAAATAGATCAATCTTTTAAGGGGGTTTTTCGTACAGAATTAGTTATTTATGAAATATTACCTACAGAATTAGTTATTTATGAAATATTACTTATAGAATTTTTTTCGTAAATAATTTTTAGTTATCTATGGAATATTACCAACAAAAAATTTTTTTATAAATACTTTTTTAGTTATTTAAGTGATATAAAGAATATTTAGTAAAAATTAAATATTATTAAAAAGTTGGTGTTAAGTCCCCATGAATTATTCCTCGTCCGTGTATTTTTTTCCAAGTTGATAGGTACCAACAACAAAAATAAAAGAACATTGAAATATATGTACTAAAAATTAGGAATACAGAGGAAATTCCTTGTACAATGAAATAGAAGGACTCTATAAAGAAAACTAAAACTTAAGACCCATTTCTGATAGGAACCACCAACACAGATAAGGAGAATTCTTCACACCCTCCTCATTCTGTTACCCCTGGAAATACTCATTCCTTCACACTCCCTACATGCCAACAGAAATTCCGGGTTTCTCAACTTTATCAAACTTGCACTAAAAACAACCAGGACAAATCTTTTCTTTTAAGACAACAAACTTGAGGACTTCTTTTTCTATTCTCTTTTTCATCAAAAATGCTCAAATAAATTAAATTAAAAAATAGAGACAAAATTAAAAGGCTAAACTTAAAATGACGTGTTTGCAAAGAGTTTCAACCTTGGCATTGTGAAAGAAATTAGTAGTCTTTTATATGGCCAAGAAATTTGAGATAAGCATGCCTTCATATCTCTGAAAGCTATATCCAAATTCAATTCTCACACTAATCTAGAGCCATTTCAATTGTAAGATATTACAAAGTTCTATCCTCATAAGAAATGTAGCCACTACAATTAAGATGTTTCATCAAAATACTATATAGATGAAATCTAAAATAAGAACAAGTTGCTCACAAAGTTGAAATTTTATTACAATTTTACTTCCAACGACATATAAAATACTAATAGCAATATTATATTACAAAACCAACTATCACCAATAGGATTGCATTTTGTACCACATGCCATCAAGGAAACAAAAATAGACATATCTCCATGATTTATAAATGAACAAAGGTGTAACAACAACACAAAATCCCACAACAAATCCAAGTGTCATACTCACAAAGAACCAATTCACTTCATGCCCATCATCCTCTGTTCTAATGCGTTTAACACCAGAAATTTGCTTATTGGAACTGCAATTGACAGTTAAAGGAGGACCGCACAAAAAATTACCAACAAAATAGGATGCTTCAAAGCTTTGAATCTGAGTGCCTGTTGGAATTTGACCCTTCAAATGATTATAAGACACGTCTAGCTCGTTGAGAAAGCTCAAGTTTGCTATGGTTGGAGGGATTTCTCCCGAAAGTTGATTCTTTGAGATATCCATGGATTCTAATGATCTCATGTTGCCAACACTTGGCGGAATTTGGCCAGTCAATTGATTGTTGGACAAATTTAAATAAATCAAACCATCTAGATATGTGATTTCTCTAGGTATCCCTCCGGATAAATTATTATTAGAAAGATCAATATTTGTCACCAAGCCAAGAATACTTTTGTACTCTAAAACACTTCCTTTTATCCCTAAAAATATACTGATTGCACTAGATCCCGTATACGATTGCACATCAGTATGTATGAATAAATCTGTACTTTTGTTCTTTTGAAACATGGCACTTATGTGGTTGAAACAACTTGGTATATTTCCAGACAAACTATTTTGTGCAAGGTCCAAATCCTGAAGAAAAATCATGTCACATATTTCATTTGGAATATGACCTGAAAAGTTGTTTGATCGAAGGCGGAGAATTTTAATATTTAAAAGCCTTTCTCCAATCCATGTTGGAATTTTACCTGAATAGTTATTTTCTCCAAGGTCCAAGGATATCAGTTGGTTATAGTTCTTCAAAAAAATAGGAAATATTCCAGAGAGTGAGTTGTTACGAATGTTGCAAGACTGTAACATGGCTAAAGAGCCCATGGATGGGGGTAAGTTCCCAACAAAATTGTTGCTTTGTAAATTTACATCCATCAAATTTGGCCATTTTATCCAACAATCAGGTATTTTCCCTGACAAATTATTTGATGCAAGATTAAGAAGTTTTAATCCAAATTGTTTGAATTGCTTGTTACATAAGAAATCATTCATGGGTCCAGAGAATGAATTACTTGAAATATCCAACCATTCGACATTCATTGATAGGTAAGGCAATTTCCCACATAAATGATTTGTGCTTAGATCAACAATTTTGGTTGATAGTGGATTCCTTAATGTAGTCACAAGCTTACTGTAGATATGATTATGAGAAAAGTTTACATAAATAGCTTGAGAAAATGTTCCCCAAAACCAAGAGGGAAAAGTATCTAAAATCCTTGCATTAGACATATCTAAATAATGCAATTTGTTTTGTGACTGAATCCATGATGGAAAGTTGGGACCTAACTGCCATGAGCTCATATCCAAATAAGCAAGTTGAAAACTTGGATGCCAATTGGGACCCACTTTTAAAGTAAAATTGTTCCCTTTTGATGAAAACATCTTCAAACTTGTAAGATTTGAAAGATCATCTTCCTTGACAACTCCTTCAAAATGGTTGTCTCTAATTTCAAGATATGACAATTTAGAGAGTGACTTGAGACTTTCGAATGGATTTCCTGTGAAGTGATTTCTGGACAGATCAAGATGTCTTAGTGGTGAAACTTTACCAAATAATCTAGGAAGAGAACCACCAATTGAGTTGTTGGAAAAATCTAGCCTGACAATATTTTTAAAAACCCCAATTTCATCTATCAAATTGCCTGAAAGTTGAGAACTCTGAAGTCTCAATGTTGTCAGTCCGTGGGAAATACAAGGAGCAAGAATTTGTAAGATTTCATTGACTTGTTGGTTAAGTGTAAGATATGAGGAATCTATCTCCCTTAAGTTGCAGAGATTACCCAAAGAAGTAGGAAGTTTTCCTTCAAGTTGATTATTTGATAAATCAAGTCTAACCAGAGAAGTCAAATTTCCCAATGCATTAGAAATAGACCCATTCAAGTTGTTCCGTTGCAGATTCAAGAATTTGAGATGACGAAGACTGTATAATCCATTAGGTATAGAAGATGAGAATGAATTAGAAAACAAGCCAAGATTTTGAAGAAGTGAGAGGTTTTGAATACCTTCAGGAATTGGGCCTTGGATATTGTTACATCTTAATTGAAGAGAAACAAGTTTGGTGAGTCCAAATACCCACTTCGGAACAAATGAAACCACGGGGTAAATAAAATGTGAGGACATGTCAAGAGTGAGGAGTGATGTGAAGTTAAGTGCAGATGGTTGAGTATAGTGAGAGAGAGGGAGTATACAATCCGACAAATATAGGTGTTTCAAAGAAGGGAGAGATCTGACGGTTTGCAGCCAATGAAATGATTTGGATAGGTTTGCAGCTCCCAAATCAAGATATTCAAGGTTGGAAAGACTTGATAGCCAATCCACATTTTCAGCAAACAGAGATCCATAAGGATAACTTCTGAGATTAAGATAAAGCAAATTGGAGAGATTTCCAATCTGAGGTGGAATAGTTCCATTGGCAGCATAGGTGAGGGCAAGATACATCAAATTGGATAGATTTCCAATCTGAGGAGGAATCTTCCCTTCGAATCCAGAATCAGAGAGGTTGAGGTGAGTTAAGGAAGTCATTGTCCAAAGAAAAGCAGGAATTGGCGTACCTTCAAAATTATTGCCGCTCAAGTCCAAGTAATTCAAATGCTTCATATCAGCCAAACAAGGATTTATCTCTCCACCAATCTGGGATCTGAGATAAGCTTCGTAAGCTTTCTCATATGCTTCTTGATCGAACATATAGTCATAGTATATATAGTCATTTATATCAGGTTGTGAAGTGTTGAGGTGAAGCTCTAGAACGTGGGCAGTGACGTTGTTGCAGACAACTCCTCGCCAGTGGCAACAATTTGCATTATTATTATTCCAAGATGAAATCCTATTTGAAGGATCTGTGAGATGATGCTTCAACTTCATAAGTGTTTCTCTCTCACTTGGGATGCACTCTATCTCTCTGCAAACACCAAAACCTAACGTTAATAACCAAACACTCAAAATAATCCACCAATTCATCATCACGCAACCAATCTATCACAAACAATTTAATATTAGATAACTGCTTCTTGTTTTGCCTTATAAAATTAACTTCCATCTATTATTTATACTAGTGCATAGAGTAACTTTTTTTTTTCATTTTTATTATTCGTTACATTTTTCTTTCGCGATTACTGATCATGACTTTAAAATCCAACTCAGCAGAATTCTTAGAATACCACAAATTTTATATTTTCTTTATTATTTCTCCTATTTAAAATTCCTATATATACTAATATATATATATATATATATATATTGTTCTTACCGAAAATCTACCGTAGGGATGATCCTCCGAGTAAGATTGGTGAGCCTCCTTCGCTGGTACGTTGATGTTCCAAGATGGGGGTGGTACCTGCAAAAGAGACTCCGATGCTAAAGTTAGGGTTTGTATGAGTATTAGTCTCGTATATGTAATGCACGTACCTTGGTGTGATTTAGGGTTGCTTTGGGCTTTGGGCCTGAGATAAGATATAATATGATTAAATAATGGATCTCGTCTGGGCGAGATCCTCGGGGATTAGTTATGATTTATTGACGTCGGGTAGCGCATGCCCGAGGTCATCTTGCGTTGTTGAGCCGAGCTTGGAGCTCGGTTTTGCTGTACGGATAGTACACTAGCCCCCCGAGCTCCGAAGACTGTAGGTCGAGGAGTTAAGACCGAGTTCGCTGGGGGGAAGTGACCTTTCGCGTATGTTGCCTGTAGAGGTGCCATGTGTCACGACTGTTCATTTCTCGGAAACGTGTAAGTGGCGCGTTAAGGAAAATGACGGTTATGTAATGATGGTTTTGCAATTAATGTGTCGTCAGACGTGCCCCTTGGTCAACACGTGGCGTGGCGGTTTTGAATTCGGGGGAAAACTTTTTCTTTTCTCTCACTCGCGCCTCTTCGCCTTTTTCACTTTACTCATTTTCGCTTTCTGGCTTCTCGAGTACGATAGCCTTTCTTGTCTCCTCGCCCTTTCTTGCACCCTTGTTTTCGCTCGTCTTTCTTCTTCGTTTCCGTCACCGTTTCCGATAACCCCTTCGTTGTTAGGGTTATTTTCTGGAGAGGAGTACCAGGTATTTCCTTTTTACTATCCTTTTTTCTCTTCTTCCCGATTTTTCTTCGAGTCTTTCTTTCCTTGTCTTTTCTATGGCTGGGGGAAGTGGTGTTGGTTCTTTCGCGCTTGTCAAGGGTAGAGGCAGGACGCGGTATAAGGCGGCGGCCATTCCGCCGAGAAAAAGAAGGAGGTGGTGCCGCTGGCGGGCCTCGTTCCAGGCGTTCCTGGGTACGACTGGGTTCAGCGGGAGATGGCTGAAGTCCAGAGTGTGTTCCGTTCTTTTCTTGAGGTTAATGCGGTTTTGAATATGCATAGGATTTGTAACCCTTCCATTTCCCAGATGATCCGGCTTGAACCCTGTCAGGCCGGTGAGGGGGTGTACATGGGGAAGTCCACTGACTCTCCCCATTTTTACATGTACCAATGTTTCTTTAAGGATTTAGGTGTCTGCCTTCCCTTCACTTAGTTCGAGTGTGATTTTTTGAATTTCATCAACTCGGCTCCTTGCTAGTTGCACCCCAATAGTTGGGGTTTTTTAGGGCTTTTCAAGTCCTATGTTCGGTTTTAGGGATAGAGGTGTCTCTCCCCGTCTTTCTTCATTTTTACCAGCTGAAGATAAGCGTTCCGCCATACGGCATTTTGTCTTTGAGTGGGAGTAGGGATGGGGGTCTGTTTACTCTCTACTCCCAGTCATACAAAAATTTCAAACAAGAGTTCTTCCGGGTCACCCTTGTGGGTGTCGACCCTTTGGCAGATGAGGTGTTTCATTTCGGTGGGTTGCCGAAATTTCCTTTTTATTGGTGCCCTAAACCGTCTAGGTTTCACGGTTTGGGTAACCTGAAGTTGACGGCCTCGGAGGCGGCCGCCATTGAGAACCTTGCTGCGCTCCCTCGCCCGTTAGATTGCAAGCTCGTTCTGTCGCTTGCGAATTCGCCCTACAGGGAGAGGGGTCTAGAGAGTGAGTATTTTGTGTTTTAGTAGTTTGCTAGGGCTTGTGTAATTTTCTTTTGCCGATGTGTTTGGTTTCCCGTTTGCAGGCATCATGGGAAGGAACTTGTGGCGTGAGCTGAAGCATCGCTACAATGTTACCGAGCTTGATGTTCCCGAGCCTCAAGGGAGGAGGTTGCCCCCCTAAAGACACACCGAAAAAGAAAGACGGGGGAGAAGGAGGTTAGGGGGACCTCCGCCCCTCGTGATGCCGAGGAGGTGACCTCCAAGGCCGCTGATGTTGATGCGGTGGATCTCACCGAGAGTCCGCCGTCCAAAGAGGCTCCCCCAGTGGTTACTGGGGAGGTGGCCCAGATTGCTGAGCCTACTGCGCAGGCCGCCAAGGTGAGTGTCTTATTTCCTTAAGGTTTTCTTCTGTGTTGATTTTGTTTGTTTTATTTGAGGCGGTATGGGCCTTCTTGTAGGCCGGGGTGGCCGTCACCGAGGTAAGAGCCCAGGCTGCTGAGCAAGTTGCCCAAGTTGTCAAGGTGGTGAGTATCTTGTTTCTTGGGTTTTTCGTTATCTTTTATTGTGCTTTCTTGTCTTCTGAGATGGGGCCGTTTTTCGCAGGCAGGAAAGGCTGCCGGGGTAGCAACCTCTGGCGCTGGGCCAGCCACCCCAACTGTCGAAGTAGTGACCCCGGCCACTGAGTGGGCCACCCATGCTGTTGAAGTAAGTAGTGTTTATTTATTTTTGTGGTTCCCTGTATGTCGCCCTTTTTATTTTTTGACATGGGGCTGGTTTTTGCAGGTGAGGTCGGAGGTCCCTATTGTGGACTTTCTAGATGCCGAGCGGGGAACGCTGGCTTCTGTCTCTGTTGAGGCTCGTGGAGAAGGTCCAAATCGTGAGGTTCCCTTGTCCACCACTGCAACTTCGGCGCCGCCGCCCGGCTCATCACAGGGGGCTTCTTGGAGGCGATACCTAGCCCATCGCTTCGGGAAGGGCCTTTCAAAGGTGCGGCTGGACCACGTGAGTGCCTCGGCCGACATGGATTCGCTGTGGAGCGCGGGGGTGACCGCTGAGAAGTTCTTCCCTCAGGGCTCGTTGAGCTCCGAGGACCAGAGGTTGATAGACGAGGTCGGCCCCGAGGATAGTTTCAACGCTGCCCAGGTCCTTCTGCAGAGGGCTATGGCCATAATGGGCCACTGGAAGCCTAGGTGGGCCAAGCAGCAGGAGGACCTGGCCAAGCAGCAAGAGGACCTGGCCAAGTTGAGGGGTCAACTTCAACCATGGAAGGATGCGAATAAGATCCTGAGGGAGGAGAACAAGGCTCTTAGTGCTGCCCTTGGTGAGGGGAAGCGGCAGGAGGCCGAGCTTCGATCTGCACAGGGCGACCTTGCAAGGGTGCAGAAGTCTCTTGAGATCGCCTTGCGGTCTAACGAGGCTTATGCCTCCCAGGTGGGGGAGCTGTAGGAGCTCGTTGCCTTCTCTCGGGGTCGCGCTCGCTCTTTGGAGGATGAGGTGACATCTTCTCGTGGCCACGTGCGGGCTCTGGAGGACGTTGTCACTTCTCTTAAAGGAGAGTTGTCGGCGGCGGCTGAGGAGCGCCTCCGTAGCGAAGTCATTCTAGGTGGTCGGGAGGACGAGATTGCCGCCCTGAGGGCGGACCTTGCAGAGCTGGCGGCGGGGAAGGCGGCCGCGGAAAGGAGGCTTGCAGAGGTCGAATGCTCCGTTGTGATGGAGCACAAGAGGGGCTTCCAAAAGGCTGCTCGTCAGGCACGGCTCCTTGCTCCCGGGTTCGACTTTTCCTCCATGCATGTGGAGAAAGTCGTCCGCTTTGGGAGGTTGGTCAAGGAGGACGATGTCGATGACAGTTCTAGTGGGAATGCCTCAGCCTAGGTCGCCTTTGTAATAGCGTAGTTTATTTTTCTTTTTCTCGGGTTTATGTATTGAATCTTGAGGACTTGGTTTGTATGTATGTATATGCATTTTTCTTCGTCTACGTCTGCGTTTGATTTCTTGTTATTTATGTATTTTTGCCGTTTTGAGTTGATCATGCCGCGGTTCGAAGTCGGTCTTAGTTTTTTGTTGAGTGACACGTTGTGAAAGTTTGAATTCATCGTCAGATTAACGTGTTAGGCTTTGTATCTGACCTTAAGTAAGTGCGTTGGGGTTTGAATGCAACCTCGGAATTAGCACACTTGAGGTTCGCACTCGACCTCAAGTTTGAATGAAATAATTTAATTAGGGTTCGAACTCGACCTTTAAGTGAGAATATTGAGGCTCGTACTCGACCTCAAATTTGAGTAAAATGATGCAGTTAAGGTTCAGACTCGACCTTTAACGGGAGTGTCGAGGTTCGTATTCGATGAGGTTTGTATTCGACCTCGGATCTGGATGAAACGACTTTATTAAGATTCGGACTTGACTTTAAATAAGGGTGTTGAGGTCCATTTTTGACCTCGATCTTTAACAAGGTTCGGACTCGACCCTTGCTAGGCGAACTTAAGGTTCGTACTTGACCTTAAGTAAATGTGTTAAGGCTCGTATTCGACCTTAAAATAGGGTTAGGTAAACCTTTACAAGGTTCGTTCTCGACCTCGGATGAAAATGTTTAGGGTTCGTATTCGAACCTCAAATAAGTGCGTTAGGGTTTGGACTCGACCCTCGGCCTGGTCTGTACTCGACCTCAAATGATTTAATGAATGTTCGAACTCGACCTTAGGCAATGACATCGAGGTTCGTACTCGACCCCGGTTTTGGTTCGTACTCGACCTTTAACGGAAGTGTCGAGGTTCGTATTCGACCTCGGGTGACGAGGTTCGTAGTCGACCTCAGGTTTGAGTAAAATGATTTAATTAAGGTTCAAACTCGACCTTAGGCGATGGAATCGAGGTTCGTACTCGACCTTAAATTTGAGTAAAATGATTTGATTAAGGTTCGAACTCGACCTTAAGCGATAAGCGAAATGATTTACTCGACCTTTAACGGGAGTGTCGAGGTTCGTATTCGACCTCGGGTGACGAGGTTTGTAGCTGACCTCGGGTGA